CAGACACGACCTGTTTGAGACTGGGAGCATTTTACATACCTTGGGGGGGTGGTTGAAAGAGAAGGTCAATTTGTAGGTCAATATGCCAGTCCCATGGGAGTGTTTGAGCATCAACTGCCACCGGTGATACCACTAGGACCTTGGACCCAACCAAGTCGCGACAGGTCGCCACCGTGCGCGGTACCGGTTCTCGCTGTGTTCGTGAGAAGAAAAGCACCATGGACACCCCGCTCGTGCTTGGCACTTCTCAAGCCCTTCAGTCTGCAGTAATTTTTTGGCACAAGCCGAATTATGAGACCTATTTTAGGTCGAAACTATAGTCGTAGAGCAGCCCAAACTTAACGGCTTGAGAAGTGCAAAAGAACCGGGTGTCCATTTTAATAGTTCCGCAAAGAGGTCATTCGGGGTGGGTGTAGACACGAAGCACCCCAACTAAAGGTCCTCGAAATCCTGAAAGAGCTGGAGTTTCTGTTCACGTAGAGCTGTTCCGATACGCGTAATTTTGAGAGGAAAGACTTTGAATCTGTTTTGCACCCGTGGTCAACTGCCACCGGTGATTATTCTACGGAAAACTATTGTTGAAACGGCCATGCCGGTTCGAGGCCAGCGATGGAGAGGAGGAAGCTGCAGAAGTGTTGGGAGCTCAAACTGTGCGAGATTCATGGGATGGGGCTCGACACCCTCCCTCCATTCAGTGTGCAATCCTTCGCATTCAGGGCAGAACGAGTGATACCGATTTGAATGCTTGTAGTTGGCCTACGAGTACTGCCTATACTCCTACTTACAAAGTTGGAGGTGGATGCCATGGCCCCGATTCGCACGAGGATGGCTCCAAATGCCATGGCCCATGCCATCCACTTCCATGATGGGAGGGTAAGTGTGGCAATAGACATCGCACCTCAAGGGTCTCCCTACTCCAGACCTTGCAGCGGTCCATCGAACATGTTTTGCTTGTTTCGCGGCCTCCATTCAATCGATGGGATTCCAGTGATGTTAAAACGATGTTAAAACCGATTGGAAGCATGTTCGATGGAATGGAATCTTTCTCTTGATGGTCCCTCCTCTTGGCTCCTTGGATTCCAGTGATTTAGACAACCGATGGAGCCAAGAGGATCGATCCGGATCCAGCCTACCTTGCAGGGTCTCCCATGTGACCTTTTGGCCCTGGCATGGATCGGCATGGTGTTCGCCCGTGTGTCTTTTGCCCCGATGTCAAGGCTGTGCGCCACGGATCACATACAAAAGAAGGGTCATGTATGGATCGTTCACACCTCTGTGTCCCAAAACAACACCAAAACCAGAGCATTGAGGCCGGAGAATGAGCATAGAGGTGCCGAAGGGGTCGGGTTGGCAATCTCAGATACAGTACTCGTGTCCAGAACACGGGCTGCCTTGGTCGGTGATGGATTCCGCCAGAATCGCAAAGCCATGACGATTCAAGTTCCTGGCTCTTCTTCGTGACAAGATGGTTTGTGCTTTTCCAAGGGACCCACCGGAGAGTTGCACTGCCAGCGCCACGCCTACCCATTTGAACCAGGGGCGCTGGTTTGACAATTTTCTGAAGCGGCCGCCCGGTTCAGAGTTTAGACCAAGATGTACGTGGCGGTGGCCTTGCTATCCAAGATATCCAAGTTCGGCCATCCCACAATTGAACAAAAGGTGACAAAAAGTTGCATTCTTGGACCTGTAGGCACATGCGAACTCCTCTTTGAATAGGGTTGTCCCTCTTTGAACTCTCTTTGAACGACAATATCGGGCAGACCTCAACACCACTTACAAATGATGGAATTACACCAGCGTAGACCCCAAACAGTTTTTCGCATTTATTGTCCGTTGAATTCGTTGATTAAAAACAGACAGAATTCGTTGAATTCGTTGATAACTTTGCGTCATTGTCAAAATACACATATAAGCTCCTTTTTGCATCTCGCGGCCACTTCCCCAATATGGCACACCCATTGTGTGACCCACCCACTGCCTGGCAAACCCAAGTGCTTGGCACACCCTAGGTGGGGGCCACGTGAATGGGAACCCTGTCTGATGCTGGCAACCAGCAGGAGACAGATCAAACCTGATTAAAAAACTCTCGACGTCGACCGGGCACTAGAATTGACATTGCCATAGCAACATCCGTGACAAACATGATTTTTTTGCATGTCGGCACTTTGTTGTGGAAGTGTTGGCTGTATGCAACTCATGCGCCGCAGTGCCGCTGATTGCAGCAAACTCGCTCTCAGCTCCACTCAGCTCCACTGCTTCCTGACACGAGTACTTTTTGCAAACCCCAATCCCGCCGAAGAGGCTCTTGAAGTCTGAGCAAGCATCCAAACTGAGTTTGAGCCAGCAAGTACAATATCAAAAAGTCATAAAATAAATAATCTACAGTACATTCGGCCTAGCAAAATCAGAAGCAAGCGCACAGCGCATACATCAGAATTACTCTGTTGCGCTGCTTTCAGATTTAGAACTGATAGGTTTATCGGCGTGGCTCATTTGTCTCAAGACTCTCGCGTTTGTCTCAAGACTCAAGCTTTCATGGGTACCTGGCATAGCATCTGTCTCAGCCCGTATCACCTCAAACACTCTCAATTCACTGACACGTGCTGGCACTGTGCATACGGAAGAAGTGCTCTTGCAAGCGACTACTCGACTCTCTCTCTCTCTCTCGTCGCTCGGCCTGCAAGTTCGTCGGCAAATAGTGTTCGGCTCACCTGATGACACATGACTTTGAGAGGAATTGCACTCAGAAATCACAAGGAATAAATTCCAGCGATTCTAATTCACATTCCAAGTACAAAACACAAATGCAAATGAAGTACTTGAAGGATGAAGGCACTCACCTTCGTGCTCTCGCCAAGTCTTGCATGCCTGCAGTTTGAGTAGTCCCCATGACCATGCGCAAGCTGCTTGGTAAATTGATGTGTATATAAATTGATATCGTTTCAACAAAAGTCGAACCAAATCAATGCGAAGGGTTCTTCAAGGAAACTCCCCCGCCATCTTGAAAGAATCCTAACTTTTTCTGGGGTTGTCGGGCGTTACCTCTCCGCAACAGGATCGTCAAAGCGCTTCTTCTCTCTTAAATCGCACGGCGGTTTGAATCGCACAGCCTTACAGCCAAATCTAAGGATCCCCTGCGGGGTCCTGGCAAAATCGCAAATGGCACAGGTTTCTTGCGGCACTTCGCGAATGAAGTCCGCAAATCAATTCAAGGGATGCAGTGCAGTCCTGCTTCGCTGAATTCGTTGAATTCGTTGAATTTATTGTCTGCCATATACACCCCCGTCCGCCCCTTGGTCAGTTTTGAAAGCCCTCCAAAACGGTCATAAAACGATTGGAACATGGCTTCTGACAACCGTTCCAGGAAGCATGGAGCAGCATCAGCCCCCTCCATGGTTCGTTCCAACCATCCAATTTTATGCGTTGCGCTTTTGGCACGCAACAATCCTGCCGAGTTGGCCATGACTTGACTATCTGGCGCGTGCATTGTGCACATTTTGGACACCCAACACCATCGTATCAGCCCCGCAACGCAGCTCCACTCACCTCCCAACAGGCTTCCGCGAAGCATGGAGCAGCACTACCCCCACCCATGCTTTGTTCTACTTGTGCACCCATCTTCCCTCCCCAGCCCCGTCCCATGCGCCATCTTCTCTGCCAGCCCCCCGTCTTGCTCCCCTCCATCTTCCCTCCCCAGCCCCGTCCCCGCCCATGCACCTCCCGTCTCGCTCCCCTCCATCTTCCGTCCCCAGCCCCGCGCGCCTCCCGTCTCGCTCCCCTCCATCTTCCCTCCCCAGCCCCGTCCGCACCCATGCACCTCCCGTCTCGCTCCCCTCCATCTTCCCTCCCCGGCCCCGTCCTCCTCCACATCCATCTTCCGTCGCCGACAACGCACGCTTTGTCTCGCTCTTCCGCGGCACTAGCGACTAAACGAGAACCCAAGCGTCGAAGATGCTTTTGGGAAAAGCATAAAAAGAAGATTGAGGCCAGCTCCTGGTCTGGATTCTGGGTCCATTGTCTGGCGCTCTTCTGGATAATGTTTTTACGTAGAAATTGGCGAGCATTTCAGCTCTATATCCTTGAACGCTGTGCGGCCACGCCATGCTTGAGCCATGTATTCACACCTCAAAAACATTTGCGCGCCCCCTTGCCAAAACCAAACACAGGTTTTGCACAGGGGCGCGTTCCCCAAGAGTTTCCTGCATTTTCCTCGACGTCTCAAAATGGCACTGCGCCCTCATTTTGATCACCTTGTCCATGTATTCTTCGAAGATTCCGCCTCTGGATCCATGGTAAACCTTGTCTAGTTTTTGCATTTTTCTCTGTCCACGCGCAACGCTGGTGTACAGGGTGAGAAGGTGAAACGGAGGTGAGGAGCCTGAAGCTCTACCCACCTGTTCTGCTAATTTGAAAACTTTGGGGCAAGTGTGTTGCAAGGTAGCCAGCGCTGGTCATATCCCCAGGTTCAGGTCGACTAGACTCGCACTTTTTTCGTTTCCGGAAGAGACACTCTTGAAAGACACTCTGGTAAGACATAGAAGACACTCTCTCTTTGAGGACACTCTGATTTACAAGACATTATGAGGAAACTTTTGAGACTCTTTTGATACTCTTAGAAGAAGCCATTCTCCTTGACACTCTTGACCGACACGGGTGTCTCACACTCTTGGAAGAACGCCAACCCCCCAAAATGGGCAGGTGCGCAGCGAAATCACCTGTGACACTCCCTCACACTTCAAAACGTCACGTTTCTACGGTATTTCACACGAATCTGACAGTTTTGGTACGTTACAACGAAACGTTGGAAGCATTTTCCCCAAGAGCAAGGCCTTTGAGCGCTACTTTTTCACCGCTCTGGCGCTCTCGAAGTCAAAAGTCTGGCACCTTCATGGCATGGATGTTTCTCCTTTGTCCGTGCGAATACCACAAGCACGTTTGCGAACGTTCAAAAGGCACATAGCTGAAGCTTGTGAGAAAGGAGTTTTTTTAAGAAAACTCAATCAGCCTCCAGCTTGCCACCCCAAATGTTCAGCCGCCTCCCGGGCTGCTTCGCGTGTCTCGTCAGCTTTGGATCCAAACAAGGTTGCGAAGGTTTCCAAGAGTTCTTCAGGAGGTCCGCTTTCGATGATGTTTCGGATTTTGTCGTTGAGCCCCAGCGTCAACAAGTTCTTGAAGGAGCGAGGGCGTGAAAGCATCACGTAGACAGCCAAGAATTTGATGTCTGCCGGTGATCTGGCAGGCAAAGTCATGTGCGCCACTAATCCGGGGGACGCTGTCGTTCCTTGCATCGTGTATAGGCTGCAGGCCTTCTCTGGCCAGAGTGGGAATGCCGTCCGCTTGATCTTCAATGAAATTTTCTCGTCTGGCAAGGTGTAAGACCACGTTTGCGTTTTTGAAAGCACTTGAATGACTCCAGGATATGACACACACTGGTCGCAGTGTCGGTTGAAAATCAAATGCTCCGCGCAAGGTTTGGGCGGCAAGAATTCCAAATCCACTCCTTCGAGTTTTACATAAACTGCGGTTGGGCGTTTTTTTAATAGTATTCTGGGGGTAATTTTGCTGGGAGGCGCTCAGCAAAAGCAATGTCGACAATTGTTGCAACGGTATCCTGAACAGCCCAGGGGGGTAAAACCGATGTAGTCAGCCGTACTTTTTTGCCCAAAGTGCAATAAGTTTACGCCTGGCATTTTTTTTGTGGTGGACAGGTTCGAAACACCAAGCAAATGCTTGAGATGATGGGGCTCACAGGCTTGGTCAGGCCAATCTGCTGCAGGAACGAAAAATAGAGTTTGATTGGCTTCGCGGGCCGAGTGCCGTGCTTTAATAAAGGCAATCAAGGTAGTGATAGACCACAGGTAACAACTCTCATACCCGTCGCCGGTGGCTTGCACCAAAGCTTCTGGGGACTGGAAAGCAGCTTTGTCTTCTAGCCTAGTCTCCGACAAGTGGCTCCACTCTTGATCTGTCAGGCGCTCACCGCCGGGCACCCGCATTTTGCGCAAAATGTTTTTTTGGATTTCGTCCTCAAATCTCATTGCTGTTTGAAGGACAAAGACTTGTGGGATTCGCGCGAACATAGCCAAAGCAGCTTTGTGTTCATGTCCTCCAACATCTGGCGTCGCAAGTAATGAAGAAGTTTTTGGGACAGGTGGAAGTTGTAAATGATCGCCTGAGAGAAGCATGAACGAGACACGGCCAAAGAGCTGTGTCGGCTGCGCGTACCGTGCCAAATCTAATTGGAATTGATCAGCTCGGATCGATGTGGCCCGCAAGGAAGCAGCGTGAAATAAAGTTGTTGGAACCTGTGACCACTCGTCTATGATCACAGCCCCCGCCCGCCCCAGGGTGTTTTGAAGTTTTTTTCTGTCTGCATGCTGTCGGACACACAAGTGGTAAGACTTTAAGCTATCGTTGGCACGGACACCAATTAGGTTATGTATTGTCTTACCGCCGATAATTCTGGCAGCCTTGTTGGAGGGAGCCGCGAGCTGCACATTGTGAGCCCCAAAATAAACATTCAGCAACGGTTCTAAGACCTGGACAATTACAGTGGTTTTTCCACAGCCCCCGCCGCCGACAAGGAGAACACGAACCAGACCTAGGTCGACCGGCAAGGTGTACACAGATGTATCTTCTCGGTTTCGCCACGCAACTTCAAGTGGATTCACTAGAAGGGCCAACAAGTCCAGCTGCTCCTGGTTGAAAGGAAACTTATCAATGAGAGATTTGGCATACGCTGCAGGACCTTTCCACGCTAAAGGAACGTCAATTTCTGTGACTTGTGCCTCGTCGCGGTTGGCGTTCCTGTCAAAAAGCTCTTCCAGCTGTTGCACAGCCATTTCAGGCGTAAGGTTCTCCGATGCTGGGCAACTTGTCGTGGCATCGGACTGAAGCATTTCTTTGCGGAGAAGTTTTGCTACAGCTGCCTGGTGCGATTTCGCGTTTTGTGGCAGGCAGTGCGTTGGTAAAATGGGTATTCTGTGTCGAAGTTCGCTGCTATCAGCAGGAGGTCCTACCATCATATGTTTGTAGATATCTGCAAATTGTTTGATGTGAAGATCTCCTTCTCTGTGCTTCCCAGTTTTTTTTGTTCGTTCAAGTTCCTGCTCACGTGAAAGAATTTGTATGCAGTCACTCAAGGTGAAAGACACTTTGGTTTGCGAATGCAACTCCTCATCGAAGCTATCTTCGTCATCTGGTGGGGCCTCTCCGTCGAACGCTGGATTTTGCCCTTGGTCAGGAGAATGCTGGCCGTCACTTTCAGACACTTGCTCGTGCACCGGACCACTTTTTGTGCGCGCGCTTCGTAGAGGCTTGGTTTGTGCGATTTGCTGTGACAGAAAGTTCTGGTAGTTTTGCTGGCTTTCGATTGCGGCAAACTCTTCCAGCGTCAGTTGATGCACATGTGCTCCAGATTGCACTCCCAAAATGTCGCACATGTTTTGGAACACGTAGCCCGGGAATTCCGAAAAAGAAGTGCGGCAAAGTTGCATCAAAGTTGCGCGCAACAACTGGGCATGCCTGTCATCCGCTCCTCCAGGGAGGCTTGCGTTCCACCAGCTTTTGGCAACAGTGGTGTCGAAAAGTACGGCGATTTTCTCGGCGGATGCTATTTTTTTGTTGGGCTCGATTTGCTACCAAGTTTATCGCAGCTCTTCTAGCCTTCCAGTTTGCAACGAAGGAAAATTTTTGTTTGCCGATTTTTACGCATGTGAGAGCAGGGCGGCAGTTTAGGGGGTCTGTGCAGCAGGTAAGGCCCTGGCACTTCATAGGCAAAAACAACATCGAAAAATATGCGGCATTAGCTTCTGCATCATCCAACGATGGCGGCTTCGGGCCGACAATTCGGGGTACGGTGATCTGCAAAGCAAAACATTGGCAATACAACGCGTGCATTTGGTAGTGCGGGTCAAATTCAAACATGATTTCATGATCTTTGGGCTTCAGAGGTTTGCGAACACGACGTACTCGAGAAGCATAGACAAACAGGGGCATTGGAGCCAGCCATGGCCCTCGGTGAAGATAGTCGTCATGCAATGTTGTGGTGGTGCGTAATACAGTTTTGTCCCAATGTTGGTTGCGGTCTTTTTCCGCGTCCTGCTGTTCTTCATCCTCGACAGCCGTTTCTTCAGGATCTTCTTTTGCAGAGTCCTCAGCCAAGCTAGCTCCGTCTTCAGAGTCTGAAGCATTCAATTCAACTGCAGCAATGGGGACGAAGTTGTCGTGCAGAAGAGGGCTCGGTGTATTTTCTAAGAGACGCCGGCATTGTTGCATCAAAAAACCAAGGTCTTGAAAGAAAGAGGACAACTTCAGCATGAGTAGCCCAGCAGTGACCTGCGCACAGAATGGTGGTCGCCAACTCTGTCGAAGATACCCAGGTGCTGCGGTTCGCAGCCGCCGCAAGCCTGACAATCACCCGCTTGGCACGGTATTGGGGTGTCCAAACCTCAGCTTTGCTTTCTTCCTCCTCCAATCTTCTGATGCCAACAGCAAATTGAGCCACTGCCGACTGCATTGCCTCCATGGGTTTTGTGCTGTATTTTGTGATGTAGTGGTCAGTATTGAAAGATGCGACGTGCAAAGCAATGACATTACGAGCAAACAAGCGCAGCTCGCGCGAATCATGTTTGTGCATGCTAGCGCGGCTCATGCCCATGACATGCCCAAGGCAGCTATCATCACAAACAAGTGTTATCTTATTGTCATCTTCATCAACTACAAACCCTCGGATTAGAAATTTGAAGTCGCAATTGCAGCGGCAGGAAACCATTGTCACGTCTGAGGTTGCGGAACGAAATGGATGAGCCCGTTGCACTTGAACTAAGCCACTTTCGTTAGGATCCACAGAATCCAGTATATTCGTCTCTGACACTGGCATTTTCCCGCGACGGCGGAATGTTCTTCCAGAAATTTTAACTGTGTGATAAAACGAAAACCGACAGTCGGGCGCACGGCTGGGCTTCAAGAGCTGCCTTTTTTCTTGCGCTGTTTTTTTGACGTGTTTCAAGCATGTTACACTGCACTCATGGTTGTGCGTGGCAATGTGCAAGAAACGAAAATCTTCAGCAAAGCGTTGCTCCCACCTATGGGCCTCTGCAAGAAAAGTGTCAAAGTTACAGGCATCTTCACCATCAGGGCAAGCAACCTTGGTAATGACGCCAGACTCATCACAATCTACGGAAAATGAAAGTGGGCCCTTGCAGGCTGCAGCCTGTGGAATTATACAAGGCAACTTGTATTCTGGCAGCGTGCTCAATTTGGCACCTGTCAATGACACCTCTTTGAAGAAATTTGCTGGTGGGCGTTGCTGCTGCTCGCTTGCAGCGATTTCGCGCTCCACGTGCTTCAAGCGTTCTGCCGCCACAACAGGCAACAACAATCTTTGAGTGATCTCATCAGCTTCTAGTCCGCCATCAAATTTTGTTTGTTTTTGCTGAAGAGCACTGAATGGTTCTGGCTTCATTTTGATGCCAGCTTGTTCACCCACCAAGGTCGACTTCTCGTACTGCAATGTGTTGACTTGGGAGATCAGCTTTGCATTGTGCTGCAGCATTTTGGCACGCAAACTTTTCGGGGACAAGTCACCATCTTGAATTTGCATGCTTGCAAGAAACCCAGGAATTGCGCGGACCAAACGGTGTCCATGCTGAAACCCTCGCCCTTGGGCTTCAAGAGCTTCAAGGATCGCCAACGCAAATCCAGCAACGCCAGGAACACTGCTAGAAGCAAAGTCGTCTTCGATACTCGATTGGCCTACGGCTCTGGCTAGTTTGTAGATGCCCAGACCAATGGAATCAACACCATATATATGTCTAAAATTTAGCTCTTCCATGAGCAAGAAAAACTTTGCAGTACAAGCTGGATGAGCCGCAGTCAGTTCGTGCATTTTTTTGGAGAGGCGGCATCTCGGGCGTGTCTTTCAAAAACTCAGGGCCAAGATTTTCACAAAGTTGACGCATCAGTGGGTTGTAGGTGTCACCATAATTATGTGTGCAAAACACAGTGGTTGGTCCGAAACAATGAGTCAGCGATTGCCCAAAATGCCTTAGCCGTACTTTGTACCCCTCTGTCAAAGGCACGGTGGCGGTTGAAAACAACATATGCCGCAGAGCTGCTCGAACTTTTGGAGGCGTTGCTGCATTTTGTATTATTTGTCCGACGCTATTGCCGCACATCTCTCCTGCAGCTGCGGCCAGAAAATCGGTTGTTTGCGAAGAAGCAATTGTCTTCAAGTCCTTCTCGAAGCCTTGCCTCTGAAACGACGCGTTTACTGCTTGCAGTGTTTTCATTTTCCGAAGAATGTCTCCAAAAAGGGCAGCAAATTCTGGTGAATCAAAACGAGAAACTGCACGGGCTTGGTACGGCTCAACATCATCAGAACAAGAATACTCCATCTCTTCGCGCTGCATCAGTGCAGAAAACAAGCTTTGGTATGTCACTGTGGAATTTGGGCGTCCCGAGAGGCCAGGCACTGCGTCTCCATAGTAAAACTCGACAAAGCAGCTTGGAAAGCTTCTGCGGTCAAAGGAACTCAAGACTGTCGTTGTTGGCACTGCCAAAGCGTCGATGTGTATTTGACCACCCTTTTCGAAAAAATCAGCAGTCACCGAGGTCTGGAGCAAACTTGCTGCCACGTCGTCCAAATTTTTGGCTTCTTTCAATAGTTTCCTCATCGTGTCTTGTAAATCGATCACAAGGCGTTGACAAGTTTCTTGCTGACCTACTTGTCGCACAGTGGCTGAAACGTTTTCCCAAGCACCACTTTGGTTGGTCTTAACTTTTGCAACTTCTTTTTGAAGATGTTCCAATTTTTTTTGCATCGCTTGAAAAAGTTGGGCCGGTTTCGGGTCTTGCTCGTAATCAATGGCAATCATAAATTCAGGGCTTTTTTGAGATTCATGAGTGGCACGCTCATGGCCTTCATCTGCGCAGGCCGGCGCATCGTCATGGACAGATTCATCATCAGCTTGCGCAACCTCGTGGTCATCATCAGACTCTTCAGCAATGTTGCCATCGGTATTGGACGGAGGCGCTGTCACGGGCAGGTCGCCCGGCCCTTGCATACGCTGCAAAAATGTTGATTCCGGAAGATGTATGGCATGTTCGATAAATTCGTTTGGAACCCCTTCGACTGGCAGCTTCTGAACGGCATCTTGATCAATATCGGTGTCAAAAAACACAGGGCAATGTTTCTTTCTCAAGCGCAAGCAGTCCACAAACTCTGCGCGGTTGACGGTTAATGCCTTACAGGTTTTGACCTCCTCGACACTTCTTGTGAAAACAATCACCTATTGATCCAAGACTTTGTTCAAAGATGGTAAGATCCGTGTAGTCTTTGCTTCGGCCTGCGCTAGAAGAATGGTGTTGCCCACCAAGCCTTTATAGGACTCCTTGGCCGTCGAAGGCCCTAAGAAAATCTGCCGCATGACGGGACGGCCTTTGCCGAGGAGCAATTTGGTACCCAAAGTAAGTTTTTGGTAAAGGGGTTGCTCACGCCCTAACCAATTCATGTTAGACAAAGCCAACGGTGCCATTGTTGGGCCAGAAACTTGACAAAAATGTTCCAGGCATGTTTTGCAGGCAAAACAAGTTTCGTCCTTTTTGCCAACGCCTGCACACATCACGTTTCCCGACGCTTGGCAAGGAATTTTTGGAACCCTTCTGCAATGGAGAAGCCAATGCATATTTGCGTGATCCGGATGTCGAACTGCTGAAGCATAGAGTTCTTGCAAGGGTATGTGCGGTTGTAACTTTGAGTATGCTTCCACTGCAAGTAGCGCATTCACTTTTTCTGCCGGCCCAACACAAAACTTGCCGTCAGCAGTAAACAGCAACAACCCTTGATCGCGCGCGTTCGTTTCTTTCTGCTGGTTGTAAAAATGCTGCTTCCATGACATGGAGCCTGTGGGTTCTTGAAACAAAAAGACTTCGAATCTATTTTCGGGATAGTCACGAACACAGCAAAACACACAAGCATGCAAAGATCGTGGCTGAGCATGGTCAAATGTACCTGCCAACCATTCATTATGATGTCCTGGCGTGGCATATCTTTGAAAGAATGCAAAATTTTGAATCAGACTTCTTTTGACCCAAGGTTGCATTGGTTGAAAGTTTGCTTGCTGTGCCTTAAGACCTTTTTGCGGTACTCTGCAAAGTTAGCATGTTTGTCGTCACAATGCTTGCAGAGCGCATCCATGCTAACAAGTGATGCGTGGCACAACTGGCATGTCACAGGCGCTGGGGCAAAGGCAGCTGAAGGCGTGGTCGAATCAGGCTGTAAGTCTGTGATGTGCGCTGGTAAGGCGTGCGCTGCCAACTTGTCTTTGCAAAAAATGGCATCTCCCGGTATGTATGTCCTTCGTTTTTGGAAAAAAGGCGTCCACGCAGATATTTTGTTCATGCGAGAGAGGCCGGCCACGATTTTCGAATGATACACACAAATGCTGCAAAGTAGCAGGGTGTCGATGTTTTCCGGCTGCAAAGAATGCTCTTGTAAAAATTCAAACGCTGCGGTAACCAAAGTCGAAATGCGATTTTCCACGCTGTCTTCTGGGCCAACATGTGGAAATAGAAAGCGCCTATTTGCATGGAGATTGAAAGTGGAATGCGAATATGCAAGCAAATTGTTTGTAACTACCTGCTTTGCCGCTGTAACACTTTCACTTTTATTTAGGTGAGCTCGGCCCATGCGGTTCTGTATGACCAAGTTGAAGACTTCGGACAAATTCAACGGCAAATCGCAATAGTGAAGATCCTGGAGCTCAATTAAAGCCAAATGCCGAAAAAACTGCGAAGCTGAGGGACGCAAAAATGGACATGCACTTGGCCAGCATCCGAACAAACATTCTGGCCGCTCTTCTCTCAAAAGTTTTCCTAGGTCTGCCAGGTTGGTCGGAATCAAAGAACCATACAGAGCTTGGTTTTGAGCACACGGTGCTTCCATGAGAAAAGCACTAAGTTCGAAGTGCAAAAACTCTGTTGCCAATCTTGTTCGCGCACTGTTAAGGGTGGAAATACGGTTGCTCAAATGAGCATCTTTCCACCAAGCTTTGTCCTGTTGCATTTTTTGGGGCAACCCGCGCTTGGTACAAGAGTTGGCAGCAATAAAACAACGTTTGCGCAGTTGAGCTTCAGCAGGGTCATTTGAAGAAAGGCATCGGAACTTTGCAAAAAGACTTGCTTGCCACCAATATTTGTTGCGTTGTTGGTTCTGATAGACGCCGCCGCTTGGAAACACGCCTGGGTTAGGAGGATCGGTCTCCACTGGATCAACAACTTGTTCGTGTGGCGGCTTCATTGCTTTGAGTTGTTCCAACACGTTTTGTTGTGACATCGCGGTGCCTGCTGCCCTTTGTTTTTTCGAAGGTGGCTTCATAGCTTCGCAAGATGTGCGCTTTTTGTTTGCCATCGTTTTTGCTTCTGCGGTGCAAGCTGGCTCAGAAACAGCAGGCGCTCTAACGTGTGCGCCAGATCTCCCCGTAGAAGGTTCTCCAAACGAACTGCCCGAAGCATTGTGTTGCCCCACCGGCTGTGTCGCGCTTTCGAAGATCCGTTGCAGATTTTCCTTTTGCTTTCCAGAAGGCATGTTCTGCAAAAGGAAAGACCATTGTTGCGAAGTATCTAAACCTGCAATCCAGCTGTAATGCTTGTCATTCATTCCTTCTGTCATTGTGTTTTCGACCACACCCAGTGTTAAAAGTGCTTCCACGACACCATTCGGCACCATGATTTTGTGATCAAAAACATTGCCCGGCCGCACTAGAAAGGAAAAACCTTGAGTCAAGCCTGGCTTGGGGTTCCTTTCTTCGACATTTGCTAGTTCGTTTCTTACCGTGGGCGAGGTTGTCAAACAGGCGGTATTTACCATGTTCACAAATGTGTTCAAACACGCTTCTTTGCAGTCTGAAACATTGGTTCGTGGTAGCGCCCATTTGCTCGCAAGTTTTCGCCAGCTGTTCACATCGCCTCTTTCCGCCTTTTTGGTAAACAAGTAACAAAACTCCTCCAAGTTTTTCTGTTGAGGATGCGTTTGGAAATGTGCTTGGTTCTGGTTCATCAATGTCTGCGCTGCTGCAAAGCGGTCTTGCTCAATCATGCTTTGACTTGCAGGCTGCAGCTGGCGGTGATCTTCCGTCAGGACAGGCTGCTCAGCAGCAACGTTGTGTTCCCTATGAGTTACTACGTTTGCGGAAGTCAATTTAGCCATGTGTTCACGGACGAATCGCAAAAACCTCTGCAAACACTGTTCTTTCATTTCGTCCAACTTCTGCCTAGGAAGCGCCCACGCGGTGGCAAGCTTTTTCCACATATCTGCATCCCCCCTTGTGGGACTCTTACTGCGAAGGCGGCAAAATGTCTGCATGTTTTGCCACTGCGTATGTGATTCGAAATGCAATCTGTGCGCGCTCAACGCCCTTTCCGCTTCTTCAAAAGTGAGAATGTCGGCGACACCGCCGCGCAGAGGATTAACCACCACTCGGAACATTGAATGTTTAGGCATGTTGGACACAAGCGTTTGCATGGACATGCAAGTTCCATCGACTAAGAGCTGGCTTTGGTCTAGTAAAAAAACAGGAATGCGTGTAGATAACACCGCATAGA